CGTCAAAGAAAAATAAACATAAAGTCTAACATCGCTGCTCCTTAACTTGTGACTTTCTTTGTAAAAACTAAAGCATAAATTATAGTAATTTTAGGAACAGAAATAGTTTAGATAAGGATCTACATTATTACTTTACTTACTATCGGTGATCTGTATTTCTAACTAAAACATAGTTATTCCGACTCCAATGTACAAATATACATACATCTGGTATAACCTTCACTATATATATATATATATAGTAACTAAAGAGGAAAAGCAATTTAACTTAAATTCAATTTACTTCAAGACTACCTGATAGGTTTACTGTTAGTGGCTGAACGGTAAGTATGGCTTTCAACGCTAAAAATCGGGTTTCGATACCCGTGATGGGCAGAATACAGGTAACCTGTTGTGTAGCTTTGCGCTTAACAACAAACAGATTATCGTTGATCGGTTTTCTTTTTGTTAAAACTCATATATTTCATCTAGAATTAAACACCCACTCCCTATGTGTAAAACATTTTCACCTTTTGGTTTGGAATTTTCCTCAGCGCGAAGGTGTCAAATAGCATCTAACTATTTGTGTTCATACGATAAAAAGTAAGGATGCACGGTACCCGGCCAGATATTCGGCCCCGGTCGGATATTGGGCTACCCCGTAATACTCGGCTCCGGCCGAATATCGAAGTTAAAAACAGCCGAATCCGGGTAATTGAAAATAACATCTAAGCCCTAATATTGGTGGCAACTAACGCGGTACTGAAAATTACAGTCAATAATTGGTTTAGTTTTAAAAAACGTGTTTCCGAGCAACAAAGACTGACCGTCCGCTGAAAGTCAGGGATTCAGAGAACAATAGAAGTTAATAACAGGCATGGCTTGAGAAGTTGATTTCTGGGTAATGTGGGTTTTTTTAAGAACAATGGGGGTTATGGTTTGAGAAGTTGAGGCTTGGCATTAATCGTATAATGATTCTAAAACGTGTAAACATTAGTGTTTCTACGTTTACTTTCACTGGTCTCAGAAATCGCATGGAGTTGGTAAGTAATTTCAATCTTTCTACCTCAATAAAAATTAAATTTCAAAGTTGTCAGTTTCATTAGTTTTCCATCCTATATATTGCTGTTGCCCCCAGCCATTTCAATTCAGTTCATCACCGATTCTCGATGCCGTGTAAAGTTCAATTTCACATTGTCTTGTCAAAAACGTATTTTAACTTGCTATTTTAGTCATTTTTCATTCCAAAGGTAAACGTGGCCAGCTTGGTCTGGAGATATTTTGTGTTGGAAAACAAGGATGATCATTTCGCAAAGTGTACCCTTTGCTCCACCATGATATCTAGGGGTGGCACGTCACCCAAGACGTTTGGAATCAAATCGCTGAGAAATCATCTCGCTTCATTTCATAAAGACGAATTCGCAACCATGCAGAGAGAAAACAATGAGAACAAGAAAAGAAAACGTGACGACGAAGATGCCGCTACTGAAATTTCGATGGCCAAGAGAAGTAAAACGCAAACTCTTCGGCAATGCGTCGTTGATTACTCATGCCATTCGGTTAAATGTAATAAACGACAATTTTGTTTTTGTTTCTAATTTTTGTGTATGTTGTTTAGTTGTTGTTTGCTTGTTTGTTTGTTTTGGGAGGAGGGGAGAACCCGGGTCTTGACACCCGGCCCCAGCCAAAGCTTAGTGGTCGGGAACCCGGACCCAGTAATCGGCCAAATTTTAATACCCGTGCATCCCTAATAAAACGAAATCCTGGAGGAGCTGCCTATTCTACAACAGGCGCGTCCACCGGTTAACGTATTGTGAAGAGCCTCCAGCTGTGAAGGTTTGCTGTGAATTACCAAAAAGCAGATGTGTACCAAATGGTGGTGGTTGCAGAGAGCGAGGCGGAATAATGTGTGGTGCGGTCTTGTGGGTTAGGCAATAGATCGAGAACTAAGGGAAGAAAAACTGACAACCTGCCTTACCAGCGCGTCAGTTATAGACAAAAAACCCTGTGATAATCATGAATATGATGGAAGGCCGTAACGCTCAAGATCAATATCATGTCAAGTAGAAGTTAAGGGGAAAAATATCTTTATGAAATTCCAAAATGAAACCCTGTAGGGAGTCTTGGGACCAATAGAAGGAAGACAGGAAAAGCCAAAAACAATGTACAAATTTGCACTTATAACACCAAAATGCTCAAAACAGATGACGACCTAAACAAGCTATTTCAAGAATTAAAGGATTTCAACTGATATATCACAGACCTTAGCGTAACAAAACGAAGAAGAAAAGTATAAAAACAAAGGAAGATCCAGATGCTAAAGAATTATGTTTTCTAATTCATCTAAAAATAAAATACTGTATTAAAGGATTTCAGAAATATTCAAATAGAGTCAACTCTCTTTAGAAAGAAGAAACCATGACAGTTTTCTGGTCTATGCACCAACACAAAATCATGATGATGAAAAAGTAGAGTTAATGTACAAAGATTAAGTAAAACACTGAAAGACAACAAACAATCAAGATACAATATAGTGATTGAAAACTAAAATCGGACTGAAAGAACTTGGAGGGCTATTTACATGCAAGGGCACATTTGGCATAGGAGAAAGAAAATTAAAGAGGTAAGAGAATGCTGGAATTTGTCATAGAATGAAAGCTATTTATTGCAAACACTCTGTCCAAAAAATGAAAGAACAGAGATTAGATATGGGAGAATCCTAACGTCACAAAAAAGAACCAAATAGACTTCATATTAAAAAACCAAAGGGGTATCACGAAAAACGTTGAAGTTATCACAAACGTAGATGTTGAAAGTGACCACAGAACGTTACAAAAAAATTCATCATATGTACAAGATTGGTCAGAACTTAAGACAATACGAATAATGAAAGCAACAAACAAGTGTTTGAAGAGGAAAAGGATACTTTTCAACTATTAGGCACTTACGAGTAAAAAAGGGAAATAGATGAAATAAGTGAAGAACTCAATAACATTACCTCGTAAGAGGCATCAAAACTATCCGAAAAAAGATAAATACATGGCTAGAATTTCGCTCTAACAAGAAAACAGAGAAATGGACATAATTGACAACAGAAGGAAAAACTTAGAAAAATGCGGAAAATATGACATAATTGGAAAAAGTGGAGTACATTGAATTAATTAAGACAGTTCGAAAGAAAATGAGATTAAGACAAAGAAAGAAAATGAAAGAAAACATAAAGGTTACAACAGAGAGAGGTAATGAGCCTAAAGAAATATACAAAAACGGAATGAAAATAAAAATATACTCAATTCAAAACAAGAAAGGAGACATAACGAGTGGCAGAATGGAAAATTTTGATATATTCACAGAATTCTGTAAAGAACTGTACGGGTCAACAAACGAAAAGGAAATATAGGTCCAGGTAACACAGATGTACCACCAAACAGCTTTGAAAATGTTTGAAATGCCATGAAGCAACTGAAAAAGAACATGGCACCTGCATTAACCATATTTTTCAATGAAATTCTGAAATTCAAGAGAATTTTCAAAAATGGAAAGAAGCCAAGATCATTATTCTTCACATGAAAACAGATGGAAGAAACATTAGAAATTATATACCAATTAAACATCTATCACACCAGTATAAATTTTACATGAGAATACTACACAACCGAATGGAGAACATGCTTAATGGGAATCAACCCAGAAAATAAGCAGGTTCCAGAAAAGAATACTCAACATTAGACCATCAGCAAATAGTAAATCAAATAATTGAACAGAGAAATGAGCACATACTCTCCCTTTTGCCATCATGAAACATTCAACGATTTTAGTGCTTTACGAAACATAGGAACAAATGAAATATACATTAATATACTAGAAGACACATATACCGACGCAACAGTTCGAATGCACCTTGATAATGAAATATCATCAGAGATAAAGATAACGCGAGGCGTTTGACAGAGACACCCAATATCACCCAAGCTCTCTACTGTCACATTAGAAGAAATATTCAAAAATACGGAATTGGAAAATGGCGTAATTATCAAACAGAGGAATATTATCCAATCCGAAGTTTGTAGATTTAACGAAGTCAGTGAAAGTGAATTGAATAAACTGTTCTTTAAAAGCAAGAGAAAATGACTTAAAATGTCCAAAGGTAAACAGGATATATGACAAACTTTAACTCCAGCAATAACATCATTATAGAGAAATAGCTTATTGAAAATGTGAAGCAATATAAATATTTGTGTCAAAACTTAAAAAATGAAAGATACGATAAAGGAGAAGATGCTTGTAAGAATAAAAGCGGAATGGAATTTTTGTGGAAGATACAGAGAAATATTTCCAGATAAAAACTGCCAATATCATTTAAAAGAAAGGTATTATGCCAACGGTGATACGTGGCTACAGTCTTGGTAAATCATAAAACAAGTTAAGAATCACACAAAGAGTGGTGGAAAGAAAAATAATTAACATTAGATCAAAAGACGAAATATCAAACAAGACAATTGGGGAATAAAATAAAGGTGAAATACATCATGAATTTTATTGATGCGAGCAAATAGAAATGGGTAGGACATGTAGAAAAATTAACAGACAATAGATGGACAGTACGGCAAACAAGAACGGGAAAAAGATCAAGAGAAAGACAAAGAATACCTTGGAGAGGTGACGTCACAAGATACGTACGACCGTTATGGGCGAGAAAAGCTAAGTACAGGATAAATTGAAAAGATCTGACAGTGGGCTACATCCTGCAGTGGATAAATGAATCCTAGATTAAAAGTGAAAGGTGAAATCAAAAGAAATAAGGACTATTTTTAAGTGATATATAATTGCAAATACTAATAAAGAAAGCAGAATTTATGATATATCTTTATTATATTCGTCATATAACGCGTTCCAACACGAATGAGATGTAGGCTTTTCATGAACGTATAAACAATTATTAATCTTGGAAAATTTGTTTACCTTTCCAACATGAGCCAATCCTTTATCAAATTAACTAACAGCAAACACGAAATACTCACTTGACATCTGATGGACTGCGTTGTTTGAACTTCAAGTGATCCAGCCAATACAAGATACCAGTTGGATCCTTGATCTCCTTCACGAAATACTGAAATAGAAACAATAAAAAAACAGTTTCTGAAGGAACTACTGTTTTATTATGCTTGAGTTAACATAATTATATTCAAAGTGTTATCAAACAATACTTTTGAACAAGAGAGAAGACAGAGACGTGTACAAAATATTTTCTGTCATACAATTGACTATGCGATTGCATACACACATGGCATTGTTGATCCAATTATTTATATGCATTACTTGGCCAGAAATGATCACCTTCAGGTACCAAAGCTAATCTAAGTTTATCCAGTTTGTATTTTTCACATGGTACAATGTAGAGTGGTTTTATACAATATCAGTTAAACCTACCTGACTATAGTATTTGGATAATTATTTAGTACCAAAGAGATTTAGCTACACGCAAAGAACTGACTGTGAACAATCAATATCAATTTTTATTGTAAGCCTATTGAAGCTTCTCCTAGATTTGGTGAAACAGAATAACCAGACTTTTTGTGCTATTTTGTCATTATCTCTCATTAGAGGTATACTTTCTGCATTTTTCTGCAATTGGCATGACTCTGTTAACTAATACTTTGTTTTCCTTGCGTCATGTTAAATGTATCTATATGTATTTATGTGTAGAAATAATTAAGTAAATGCATAACTAGAAAGATTGTATAGAATATCTTAAACAGTACTGGAAAAATCAGCATTTAAATTCTTACAAGTTGCTACTTGTACCTGACAGTGAAATCAGTTATAATAATAAAATAATCACAAGTATATTATGAAATTGGGATTAGACGAGTTCACTAGAGCATTAGTAGATTAGATTCCAGGATCTCCAAGATTGTAAGTAGTCTATTTTTGGGTGATTTGCAATGTATAGATAATTGAAAAATAAATAATTGCCAAATAACTTTAACTAACACCATGTAAAATCGTTTACAAAAACCAAAATACCTTCCACCACAAATAATAAGTGTTTCTCTAGCGTGCATAAGTAGTTGTTCAAATGAGGTCAAGTTGGTTTCTTGCGAACCTAGTTAATTAATTAATTCTGTTTCTGATATTTTCGTCATAGGTTCTTCTTTTTTTTGCTTTAGCCTGCTCTTCTTAGAGTGTTATTTACAGATCATACTAGAAAACACAAAAACATTCAATAATGACATAAACTGTACCTTTGTGTAGCAGTTACATGCATAATAATTTCCTTTAGTTGTGACTTATAACCTCATAAAGATCAGAAATAGAAAAAAGTATCACTTATTTGTACGTAAGAACCAGAAAACAGAATAATTACACATATTTGCCCAGAATGAAAAGATAAAAATGCAAAGTGTCTCTTGAACCATCTACACGTTTTCACATATAATTGATCATTTAATGCGACATTTGCCTGCCCAATATACTCAATTAACAGTAATGTTGGTGTTATTTTTGTAGTGCAAAGCTACACAACGGGTTACCTTCACTTTGCCCACCGCGAAGAATCGAATACTGGATTTTAGCGTTTAAATTTGTAAACTTACCGCTGACCCGCCGGGGAACTTTAACAGTAATATGTATGATATCATTTTAATTTAATGCTTATAACCATAGAACCATATATATTTTATTTGTATCATTAAATTAAAGAACAAACTTCACTTGGATTTCAAATATCTAATGATCAACATTTAACTGAACATCATAATAGTCAAAATGTATGCCCCCCAATAGCACAGCGGTATGTCTGCGGACTTACAACGCTAGAATCCCGGTTTCGATACCCGTGGTGGGCAGAGCAAAGATAGCCCATTGTGTATCTTTGTGCTTAATTACAAACAAAGATTAGCCGCGGCTCATAGAATGGCTCTGAATTATTTAGTTTTTCAAGTACAAACTTTTAGCTCATAGCTCAATCATCTCTTGGCCGATTTGAGATATAATTACAGTTTTGAACTCAGGAGGTCAAACCTTTTTGATTGATGTATTTGATCATGCCAAAAATCTCATAGATTAAATTACTCTAATCCTGCCTAAATAATTTCAATTTGAGAGTAGGCTGGTAGAGATCTTGATAAGTATTAAATCGAATCGGGTATACGCACGCCCTACGCTTGGTACTGCTTGAGCACAAAAATGTAGCTAACAAAAAGGGGAAAAAAGTCTCATAGATTAATTTTCTCTAATCCTGTCTAAAAGAATTTCAAATGCCGCGGCTATTGAGGATTCCCTCTTGTTTTTATTTGTATTAATGCAAGCAATGAATGGTACAAAGAGTAGAGCCTTACTTACTTTTGTAATCTTTTCTCGTTAATTCATATATCATTTAATTTTAAATCGCTTTGAAGTTCTTATCTGAATGAGTTTTCTCATGTTTTATTGCATCAGAGATCGCTGTCATAGTTTTACTGCTATAAGAAAAAGCAATCCTGCGAACATTCTACACTACGTTTTGTAATCTGCTTAAGTGATAAACGATTAAATATATTTTTAATCGCACTATTAATTGATCAAAGAGTACTCCAAAAGTTGGCGGTAGGTGGTGATAACTAGCTGCCTTCCCTCTAATCTCTCTCACTGCTAAGTTAGGGGTGGCTAGAGCAAATAGCCCTAGTCTGGATTTGCGCAAAAGTCAAAACAAACCAAACCATCATAAACTGATTTACAACCATAACTAATCTAAGAGTTACATGTTGGCCAAACAACTGAGCCTCCAACGTTCATTTCTTTATTGTTGTTGCCACCTGAAACTTAACTTCATGAAATGCCACTAATCTAAACAACGTTGTAATTTATACATTTTACTTCAGCAAGTCAAATTTTCATAAACATTTTCTTTAACTTAGGTGGCGCTTAGAGATACATGGTGTTCGGACATTTGTCTTTATTGTATTGTTATCGACTCTGTTTCAACATTAAACACATATTACTAATTCTGATGCAATTTTACCTTATAAGAAAATAGCAAATATAAAGATATTTAATAGAAATAGTTTAGTGTCACCTTCTTTTTTCAGTTATTTGTTAATCATTTCCTTATGTGAGATTAAATACTACAAAAACCAGAATAAGTTGATATCAAAATACTATAAACACGTCAAATGTCGTACGTCATAAGATTTGAAGGTTTCTAAACTGGGTGTTTTACAAGTCCTTCGTAGTCTTGCCTGGAACATTTTCCCTAGTGATCTATAAATAATAATATTTAGCTTAAACAATTTGGCACACTCTGAAACTTTTGATTTATTTTCTTCTCAGATTATCAGTTCTTTTCCTGTTGTTATAGTAATCAATAGGTGTTTTTTATGCGTATTTCAAATTATGCGTCCCGAGTGGATCAGCAGTGAGTCTTAAGAGCTTGTAACGCTAAAAATCCGGTTTCGATAGTCGTACTAGGCACAACAAAGATAGAACAATGTGTAGTTTGGTGTTTAACAACAAAACAAATACATCAAATTATGCTCATAATTATAACCATGATCCAATAGCTACAACCAATGATGAAAGTACGAGTACTTTTCTATATCCTAGGCTTACTCTTCACATCATTTTCTTATTTTATTCTTTACAGTAGGGAAGTTTTTTCACAACTATAATATATTGAATGTTTCTTTCTCCTCTTCCCACTTTGGAGTCACCATCACTTAATTATTTCTTAATTGTTCACTGTTGTCTCTGTGTTGGAAAAATATGGCTCCAAGTAATTTATGCACAATTTTCTGGTAAAAGTCCTTGGTACGTCTTAATTTTTGCATAGTTCAGTTGATTGGTATTAACTAACCTATCTTTGGGTTGTTTTCGTCCTGGAGACAGATGCTGTAGCAACAAGGTATAATTTTTTATCTCACTGTCATATTCTTAATTTAAATATTACAACTAGTGGGAATTATTTCTTGCTGATCTGAGTTACAGAGCTAGGAAAGCATTGTTGTCTACTGCCCATTGAAATAAGAAAGTAGCAAATACTGAATTTCATTATCCCAATAATTACTAATATCTAAATGACCTTAATCTGTAAATTTTTAATTATATGATAAGCCTGTCGTATCACTTTGTCTGACTAAAGATTGTATTAGGTTGTTTATGTCCTCTTTACTTACCAGAATATTACTTATTTCATCTATCAGTAGGCTTTTCAAACTAGTGCTCAACTATATGCTAAATCATCTATCAAACTCTCGATTATAGTATGCAGTGAAACCTAAGACTACTTATGCCTCTAGCCAATAACATCTTAATTATAAATTGACCTAAGATCGCTTAGATTATTCATGTTTATTAGTCTGTGATTTGTGTAAAATTCGAATTAACATATCAGGAGTTTAATCATCACATATATCAAAATTATAACTTGTTCCAAATACGTGTGTTGATTAGTATTTTCTGCCTCTAGTTAAATATATGTGGGTCTGGTTTCTGCTCTTTTCCTAGAGCAAGGGGTGGTCCTATGGTTATCGTGCTGCACTATGAATCTGAAAATCTATGGTTTGCATTCCATTGCCGCAAAATTGCGCTTCGCATTTTCGGGAAGTAAATTCATTATAAGAGTGATGGTCAAATCCCATTTTGAGTTAGAGAAGCGACAGGTAGGTCTTATTAATTATCTGCTTTCCAACTACTTTGTAAGTTTAAAATTGGAGACATCTAACGCATGTGGGCCCTGAAACAAATAAAGAAACAAACCCTCTTTTCTTTAGATTAATTACTCATGTTGAATCTCCTCAGTCTGCTACTGTTGTAGGAACTTTGATGTAATCAATTGGGGTCCATATCTAAGCTGTGTGTTCAGACTGAATGGTTTTGACAGGTTGTAATTGTATGTCATTATGTCTCATGATAGGGAGGCGTGGCTCACACGTAATTGCAATCGTCAAGCATGCACATAAGAATAGAAGAGTTTCAAATACGCTATTGGTATTACCAGCTATTTTTCAGCACTACTATTATTTTCTATGATAAAGTAAGCACCAAGCTGGCACAAATGACAATCAACTCCTTGCTATATCACATTTTGTTTCTGCGAGGATATAGTTTATGTCCATGTTTCAAACACAAATATTCAAATTAATTATGTATCCTTTCATAGGAAGACTAACAATATAGTAGTAGATGTAAACTAGTAGAATCTAACTCCCCCCTCATTCAAAATTTGCAATTGTTTTAGTCAGGATAGTAGTGGTAATACTACAATGATAAATATGTGACCTTGGAATAAATAAAAAAAAAGTAGTGTATGTATTTCTTGCATTTATTAATTTCCAAACATCTGCATGAATTTTCAGTTGATTCTAAAATATTCACGGCATTATTAATGTGTTTCAAAATTACTCACAATGGGATCTTCTAAGGAACAACTCTCACAAACTTTGGAAAATAATGTTATGAAAGGTGTTGTTTAGAAAATCAGTAATAAGAAATCTTATACCCCATGATTAGTGTTAGAGTGCAACATTTAAAGTAAATAATCGTTACTTTACATTTAGAACGTCCAGGAATTCACTCTCTCTTATAAGAAAATAGACAACCAAGTTTTCCAACCGTTTCACAATCAGTCATTATAGATGATGGATAAGCGGGCTCCGAGCTAATTGCATTTCTCTTAGCATTCATTGGGTGTTTCATTGCCAACAATTATTTCAATTGTTCACGTCGGTTTATTATTCAAATCACTTGTGGATTAACATATTCTTCCTAATTTTTTCTTTCGAGTTCAAAGAATGTATTCCTCTCTTTCTCTATCTGAGTACAACTATTCAGTTTGCCCCTAAGACTGACTATAACTTGGCTCTTTCTACCTACCCAGGATTTTCGGGATTTCTGTAATCCTATGATTGTCCTCTCTTGTATTTAACTAGCAGTATTATTACATGATTATGTACTAAGATCAAGTCAGTTGCATAAATTGAATCTACTAGAGTCTATCAGTTCATGGGCCATTACTACTTTATTTATTGATGTTGTTTCTTTAAACTGTGTATTTAGATCCAACATTTTTATCTCTGTGTCACTGCTTATTATATGAAGACATTTCCAACGTAGCTGCAATCTGCACTCTCTTGACCTACCTTAAAGCGTCCTCCCTATTCATAGTAAACATGTCAGAATGCGCCATAAAGTGAAGATTCCGTATATTGTTGTCACAGTCAGTAATATTATTGTCATTTGTTATATGGAGAGGTTTTACTACTGTTCTGCCAGCGTGGAGTATTCCAAAATGTTTTTTGCTAAATTGAACAGTTTAAAGTTTATCTGTTCCACAGGAGTCCTTTCTGTTTGACTTAGATGATGTTTTGCTGGCTCTCTGCAACTGGATAGAATGTGTCTATAATCATTAGAACGCATCTTTCATGAGTGGAGCTGGACTACGCAGCCCCACCTTAAGTACATCTCATAGGTGATTGAATTAATCTTTGAGCTTTTATTTTTCTTTACTTACTGCTTTGAACTAAATTGGATTAAAATATATTTATTTATTCAAAAGGAGTGGATAATTTAAAAATGAAATCTATGTTACGGGACTAATAACCTTATAATTTTTTTTCTTTGTTACTGAATTACCAAAAAATGATCTAGCTAGAGAGCTAATTGATGACATTATACATTACATTTTATAAAACAATAAAAACTGAAGATTAATTAAAAAATAATACGTATAAACGTCAACATTTATCCCAATTGCACACCTACGAATATGAATCCACGAATATTTTCCAGTAAGAGCGCGGGTAATCTCATTCAAGAGTAAGACTAAAAAAATGTTTAAAAAACATCGGATATTCAGATTTATGAACCAACTATTAAAGAGCATCGTGTGTTTTCTGTATCTATTCAAATGATCACATGTGTAAATTCGTTTTGTGTTTTTATATTTGTGTATTTGAGCAAATAAGAACAATAAAGGTAGAATATAATAAGAGGAAAACTTTAATGAAATGTTATATTTCATACAATTAATTGTTTTAACTAACTCAGTCTTTCGAATGGTTAATTGGTTTAGCTCGAAGTGCAATACCTCCATCATAGAGATTTGTAAATCACCTCTATTTGTACATGCTAATTATTTATTGTATGTCGTCATGTTGTTAATCTTCTGATATGTTCCAGAAGTAATAATTCTGATACAAAATGTTGTGAAACAACTAATAAAAGGTTTAAGTTAATTTCGTTTAACAAGAATTTCTTTTGTTTGCATGAAGATTTTGTATGAAAGATATACTCTAGTTCAAATCGGAAGTTTGAAATGCTGAAAGCTCAGGTGACGCGTCCAAATCACGGTAGTGGTGATGTATATCCAAATATTCGTAAAGGCAAATAACAGATAATTGTATTAGTATAACCTCCTGAAAACAACCAAATATCTCAAAGTAAAATACTTCAAGAAACGTCAACTTATTTTCGCATATAATCCTTAAAGTATTTACTTATGGTATCAATGTGTTCTGTTGGTTTGAAATTAATACTAGTTCAATGATGATACATTCTAGGTTATTTATGCTATAAATCATTCCTCCATTTACAATATATATGTGCAACATCTTAGTCTGCGTTATAGTTTCACATACATTGCTTATCTTGTTATTCACTCAAATCAAAAATCATGTGCTTTCATTAAAATAAGGGAATATCTTAACACGTACATCAACAAAGTTTACAATAAGTATCTACCATAAAAGGTTCTGTTGTGACATTCAATAAAATTAATTAGAACGCAGCCATGCTCCGTAATACATGGTGCTGCTAGGCCTGATTTGAAAGAAGTATAAATCAGTCCTCAACTGAAGAACCTTTTTAAAGTTACATATAATTTACATACATATTACTAGATTTATATTTTAATGCTTGTTTTGCAAAGTCTCGCATTTCTTAATTCTTACATGTGATTCCTTTGTCCAGATCTTCATAGTAACCATAGTAACATAGAGAGTGTAACAATGAAGGGTGGAGTTGCTGGAAGGCTTGGAAGTTACGCAATCGGCCATAAATAACATCGACATCTTCTTCTGTTCGGTCTACAGGTCTAGGGGTAAAGATATGACAGTATGTTATTGTAAACTACTTTATAAAAATTAACATAGGATGACAGTATGTTACTGTAAACTACTTTATATAAATTAGCATAGGTTATATACGTTAATTAGTTATTAATATATAATTATTGTGCATTTATAATTTAGATACTCAATTTAAAAGCATTATTTATAATCGAACTTAAATGTATTTATATGTTTCTAATCACTCTACCAATAATAGAACTTAGAGAGAAATTTGTTTTCTCATGTGATGCACAACAAAATAGCTTCAGTTAAATATCAGCTCTTTAGATAGAAAAGTAAACATATTTATACTTTAAATGATATTTAACGCTATTCTGAAAGCCAAACCTTAAATCATCAATAGACCATAATTTGTTTTAAAGGGTAGGGTAAATCCGAAACAACCCCCCCTCCCCAATTTTTGAGAAAGATATACAATCGTCTTTAAAATTTATTCTTTTCGTACAAAATTGGTTTTATTTTGCAGAATAACATGTTATCCATTTAAAGAAAAGATAGTATATGAAATAGTAAACGACTACTATAGGCAATCTCACCCTCACCTTAGATAGCCTATCTCATTCGGATCAGACTGTCTGCGTTTTCTCACCTTCACCTTAGGCTTAGATGCTGTATCTAATTCGGGTAAGAAGTTCCTTATTTTTAAGAAAGCTTATGCCTCAGATAGTACATTAATTCCCATATATATATATATATATATATATATATATATACTATATATATGTACTTAAGTATTCTCTTCTAGGTAGTTTGTTGTTTCGTACCAACCTACGTTTCGTTGGTTGGCGTAGTTAACGTTTAACCTTTTTTACTT